ACGCTAGGCAGTGCTTGTGTGAGTCCTGACCCCTACCATGCCATCGTGAAATTTCAGGTCAAGGACAGAATTTGGTGGCGAAAGTTTGACATGCCTCGATGCTCGGCTCGGACCGACCTACCCTCCGGCATCACCCAACCTTTCAGCGCGACCGCTGCCCACAGCCGTAAGCCATACCTGTCAAGGTGAAATCCTGTGGCATATTTTGTCATTTACGTAGTTTAAAGGGCATGATCCACATTTTAAGGAACTGAAGCAAGCACCAAATATGATAAATCTACATTTTTTTAAAAATTGTATTTCTCACATTAGCATGCTTTTAGGTGGTAAAGACTGCTCCAGACAGCATAATGCGCGACTAGGAAATATGCTCCTCAATACACCTTTGCTTGATGCGTCTCATCGTACCTTGCACAAACACTGACTACGAGCCGACTGACGGCCGACATATCTGGAAATCGTCCTTACGAACGCCAGGTATGAACGACTCGACGATTACTTTTTTTGGCCTTGATCGTCGCGGAGCTAATGGAATGACATGAATTTGTATTGCATTGTTACGACGTGGCGGATGCCTGAGTGACCTTGAAATAGTCTCCCCAAAATAGTCTGCATATATTTGCGGGCGTGTGCTCAGAAACTGGCGGGGTTTAGAGAAGCGCAGCGCCGTGAATTGCCCCAAGTGATCTTCGAGATGGCCATTTCGGTTCAAAACCCCATACTTATGTGCAACACTTCCTTGCAAGAGAGTACAATGTGAAACACTCTCTTTAAAGAGTGTTCATGTATGTACAAACCAGGATTTGCACCAGGTCTTTCCGGTCCATCGCATGGCGCAAACGGCACATGACGGCATTGGGGAGGGGAGTGGGGGGGGAGGGGGGGGGGAGCGGTGAAGCGAGCCGTGGCTCGGGAGAGCCTGACCCGTACCGTTACGGGTCATATTCTCCGGGCCGCCGACATGCACGAGTTTGGCATGCAGGAGATGTCCGCCAGTATCTGAACCGTCATCATCGGGAACTGAGAGGCCGCTGCCTGAACGCGAAACTTGCACGACGATTCACTCAGCCAAGACAACTTCCGACGCTTAAGAACCCCACCGGTTTGTTCCAACCTGAAGCAGAGTAACCAACCAGTAATCATGAGTCAACTGTCCAGCGACGATGAAGAGTTGTTAGGCGATTTACACAGACTGGGATCAGCTTAGACAATGGATAAGGGATGGTATGCTTAATGTCCGCAAGTGGCTTTGGATGTCCACAATTCAAGGGTAAAACCTAGCACGTTTTGTACGGGGTGTTTTTGCCGTTCGTTAATTTATGTAAAGGCAGTATGGCCACCTCTGTCCTGATTCGAACGGTTCATTCACCTGCATTTGCATGATCGCTGGGTGAAAGTATTTAGTACATTTTGCAATATATATATATATATATATATATATATATATATATATATATATATATATATATATATATATATATATGCATGTACATCGTGACCCGCAGATCGAACAGGGCTGGTACTGTGCTAAGTCGATTGCATGCACAAACTAGCCCCGGAAACAATTTTAAACGAACCTGAGCATTAGTATCATTTAACAATGCATAAGAGCCAAATGGCAGTTGATAGACAAACGTCCCATTTTGGTGACGCCCGAGTGATAAAATGACTGAAAAAGCCATGTTTTGAGCGATGGGAAGTCTAGGACGACATCCGTACCCTGAGATGTTATTTTGAGTTGGAAAGACGACATACGAAAGGTGTTATCTGTATAATGTGAAGTTAAGAAGGTACATTGCGTGCTGTTGAAACGATGACCTTTGACCCGGGTAAAGGGAACTTTCCCAATTTGACGAGGGCGATTTTCTACCTCTCTCCGATCTAAAAGATACATACGCTGCCAAATTGCTCTGCATCGTTACGAGGTGCCATGGCGTTTAGAACGTACCACTGCCAACTCCAATTGTGAAAACGCCTCGAGCATATCACATGGCCCATCAATCAGATAGGTGTGATATTGTGCCAGGTAGATTTATACACCAGATAAACCCCAGCACCAATTTTCAGCAACATTTGGGACATGACCGCGTCAAATCTCCTATGCTGGTTCTGTGCTGGGTGGGAGACGAAATGAACTATTCGCACGTTCTTGTAAATGGCTATTGAGGTGAAAATACTTAGTTGCATCGTGGAATCAGACAAGGGATCCGGCGTTCAGATATCAGCTTACCCTGGCCATTGTAATTCTAGCGAGCGAAATCCAGAGTCCAAACCGTTTAGCAGGGATAAGCGGTATCCGCCTGCTTCGCTGCGCGAAGGGATAGCGTCGTTGGTGCCAGTCACACATTCTCTTGGAATTGCCAGCTAAAACGTATCGCAACTAAGGAAATGCCTATCAACCATGATCTGCATTCTACATTACCTCTGCACAATCGCAGTGGCAGCTCGTCAACACCGCGGTCAGCCCACTGCGGTCACAACCAACACGTAATCGTAGCCAAAGCCCCTACATTTGTCTGTGCATAGCTCGCTACAAAAAAGATGACCAAGAGAGCGGAGGCTAACGCAAGTTACAGTTTCCAGTGTCGCATGTCGTGATTAGCTGTTTGTTCATTTGGTTCCTCCTAAACGACCCTTGCAAATAGTGAGCGTCCCGCAAACAGGGGCATTCAGTTCATTTCAATTCGATCTGGTGCGACATGCTTTTTTAAATTCGCAGACCTTGTTCCGTTCGTCTCCTCCATCCACATTAGTTTTTATGGTTACGAAAGCCGCAGACGCGCTCTCATTTTCGCACGTGCTACAGCCGTCACCGAACGTGGGCACGGGGTGATAGCTTGCCGTGGAACGTCACAAGGTTGTACCTGCAGTGTGAGCAAACACATCGTCATTGCCGCAGCTGTCCGACCCGGTGGCTCAGTTGGTTAGAGAGCCTGCTTCCCGATCCACCCACCTGTGGCAGGGTGTCACTATTTGCCCTTGACAGGTATGGCCTGCGGCCCGTGACAGCGGTCGCGCTAATGGTCAGTTGACGTCAGAGGGCAGGACGGACCGCGCCGAGCATTGCGGCACGTTAAGCTTTCGCCACTAATTCTGTCGTTGCCTAGAATTGCGCGATCGGATGGTGAGGGTCAGGGCTCGCACAACAAGCACTGCTACCGTGAGCGCTGATCCCAGAAATCCAACCATTCAAAGGGTTCGGATCAAATTAAAAAGAAAAAACTGGCAGAGCTGTGGGTCTTGCCAATAGATCCGGATAGATCCGCACGCACGCAAACGCACGCGGACACACGCACGCGCATACACGCACGCGCATACACGCACACGCACACACGCATGCGCACACACGCACACGCACACACGCATGCGCACACACGCACACGCACACACGCATGCGCACACACGCACACACGTACACACAAAATAATGCCGGGACAATGTTGCCATGCAGAAATGGGTGGCGCAGCGTGTACCTTGACGCAAATACTTAGCAAATTCGCGCCCATCAATTCGGGAGCATTATCAGACGCATCACACGAATGTGTTTTATAGCTATTTACCTGATGCACGTAGGCACTGCACATAGCCTTGTCTGTCAGCTCATCACACCCGGCTTCGATCAGGTCTCTCGACAGCCAGAAGTTGGGTCGGTCAGGAAATCCCATCAATGATGTTGAATACCTCCAGAAATAATGACACAAATTGTCCATATAATGCAACAGGTGTTCACATACCTGTTCAAGGAGTAAGCTCCGTCGCTTAGCGGATACGGGTCCCAAGCGCTTGCACCAGCAGTCGCCAGTCTCTTATCCAAGCGACGTAGAAGGTAATTTCGCAGAGCTATTCCAACGACTATCAGACCTAGCGTTAGTACCGGCCAGACCCCACTTAAAGTCAGTCACTGCTCTGTCCGTTTGTCCCGAATTGTCGGGAAGCTATGCGATGACCTTAAAGGCCAAATTTCAAACACGCGTATGCCTGCCGCCATATCTAGCACGCCGCCATTTTCATATTTGGTTTTGATTGCGCTAATGGCAAAGTAACGGGTGACCGCATTTTTCAACAACAGATCGTCACAGGCTGTGCGGTGACATTCATAGGCCAGGTTATCAAAGGTACAGTCACGTGGGGTCATGGCACACACATGGCCGTTTCTGCAATTGCAATCGGTACCTTATTGGCGAAGTGATGAGTCACCGCGGTCTTGACTCGCAACTACTTGAAGGCTTTACGGAGACTTTGTGGTCTGCTAGCCAATGGTGCATATACCTGACGTCATGGCAGGCATGTCGCCATGGATTCCGCGCATGCGCGATGAAGTTATATGTTCGCGCTTTCGGCCTCTGCGAATATTAATCGCATATCAATCGTTGCTAATTGCAGGGACGTGATAGTATATGCTATCCAATCAGACAACCACCCTGGACGACTGGCGTCCCACATAGCCTCAGTGGCTTGAATACATCACTATATATATATATATATATATATATATATATATATATATATATATATATATATATACGGCAACGGCGTTCCACGTTATCTGAGAGCTCGCACACGTCACTGCAGGCATATTCGCTCGCCCCCGACTCGCAAATACCCGTGCGCTGAAACTCTTTCATTAGTGCCCGCTATGTCGGCGCGGCTTACCGCCGAGTAAATAAAGAACGCATCAAGAGTGGCCATCTGAGTTGCCTTGGGCTCAACTGTCGTCTGTCTTTGTTCGATGGTACATTCCCAAGTCCACGCTATCGTTTGAATTACAACCGTCAACGGGGATGGTTCTATTCGGAATTCGTTTCCGAGCCCCTTAGTGAATTTCTCCTCGCGAACGTCCCTCAGGATCTTCATCAAGCCAGCCGCAGTTCTCGCACTTTCGTGCTGAACTGAGAAAGCTAACTATTTCCCCCTTAGTCCTGAAAAACGGCCATTTGCAAGACCGTTACCGACAATTTGTTGCCGATGTCCGACGCCCACCAACGGCCGCAGAGACAGGCGACCACGGCAGCCTCACATTTATTACCCGGCCCCGTCCAGGGAGTCAGCCGTCCTCGAATACATCGGACGCACCGTCGGAAATCAGCAGATCGCGTACAAATGAGGCGCGCGGCGGCCGGCCGGCGCGCTGCGCCTACTTCTTCTTGGCCTTGTCTTTATCGTCCTTCTTGGGTGGCGGTTGGGCGCCGGCGATGTTGCCCATGGCGCGGCGCACGTCCTCGGAGCGTGCATCGACGCCCGGCAGGTTCTCAAGCACCGACTGGAGGAAAGCCGGGTCGGACACCACCTCCAGGTAGTCCTCCTCGTCGCCCTGCCGACGGCGCGCCGGGGTTACGGGCGCGGCGTGCATCACGGCCAGACAGCGGCGCCGGCCCATCGCTGCCGACCTAGCGTCCCCCGGGGACACGTCGTATTGCACTCATTACGGCGGGCGCCGCCGGCATCAGAGAGCATCGGACGTACAGAGACGGGGAAAGGCTGAGAGCGCCGCCGGCCGCATAGCCCTGGGCACTCGTGTCAGTAATCTGAGTGCATCGCCTCAGGCTTACAGTGTACTGACAACATGGGCTGAGACGGCAATACGAGACAGCATATGCAACACGAATATGCACACACCGATACGTAACCATGCTGAAGCCCACCAGCTGCAAGATAAAACGCCACTACAACCGAGGCCTAACAGCCGGCATTTCAGGCGGGAAGCAATATGAACGTCACGGCCCGCAGGCCGCTGGCGTGGGGTGGCCCGGCGTCCCTGTCTCCCCGCGCCCCACCCCTCCTGGGCGTCGCCCCCCCCCCCCCTTCCCTCCCCCCGTCCAGTGCGGTGGGCGGCGGGCGGGGCGCGGCAGCCAACCTGCTTTTTCTCCTGTTCCGGCTGATCGGTCTCCATCGGGGTGGGCGTCTCGTCGGCGGCCT